CTCATGAGAAAGCACTAAGTCAAAGCGAGGCTTATATGCGGATATCGTAAGTGAGTGTTTTCAGGCTGACATGGCCGTGAATTGATTTGTGCCATTCACAGCTTAAGGCAAAGTTACATTGACAGAAAGCTGAATAAATTTGCTACAAATTACTGGTAATTAAAAGTTGTGCGGAGGCCTCTATAGATACAAAGATCACAGTTAAAGATGAACTTCCGTTATAGCTTTCGTAAATTTTCGATTTCAAACTATTTTTTTAACATTAAATAGGCTCTAGATCAACTCGTGGTGCATCTCACATTATTCGAAATTTATTTCTCAATATGTCAATGTACGTAATGTGTCCCTGAATACGTTCATAGCCGAGATATTGCATCGTTTCTGACACCCTATAAATTTCTAAAATTTTAGCCGATTCAAAAGTGTAAGACTTCCGGATTGTTTAAAAGCCACCTAGCGGCAGACCGGTGGCTCCCGGGCTATGGGTGACAGTGCATTTATTAATCACCTCTACTAGTAATTACTTTAAAAATACAGAGGGCAAAATGAGAATGATGCAAAGCTAACAAAGCTGTTGCGACTGTCGGAGGAGCAGCTGGAGCCGCAGTCGCAGGAGTGGGACAAAAAATCACACAGTTGTTTAGGAATTAAAACTCTTGAGACCACTATTCAAATATAATTGTCGAAAGATGTTAACAGATATGTTTGACTTTCAAGATGAAAAACAACTATATCCAAATCAAGACATTCACAGTTGTAGTCTACCCTCTACCAGGGTCACAGATTGACTTTCACTTTATTTTCACAGATATTCCTCTGGCTAATTCATGATACAGTTCTCATTGCACATAAAGGTGCACAAAATAAGATAGAGAAATAATTATCTGTGAATATTTAATGGGAAATCAATAATGCTCCGGTAGAGGGTAACATTAGCCAACCTTTCCAAAGCAGTCATTCAAATCTAATTCACATAACATTTAAACAGTAATTATATTAATATAAAGGAATGGTAATTTACGAAAATGAATCAAATTTGGATTCAGCGTTTTTATTTTCAATTGTTACTTATCTTCGGTTGTAAGGAGTTAAGCCAGTTTTGATTGTTTGAATTCTAATAAATACGATTATAATTGTTCATTTAAATTTTACTCAGCAATCTCAGAGCTCATTTTTAACGAAACACGTTTAAGAAAACCCCACAGCATAACACCTTATCTTAAAAATACGTAAATATTCCATTATGTGCAATTATTTGGTATTTTTGAGTACGAAAGTCGGCAGTAAAAGTGTCCTTACAATTACTTTTCTTATCTTTTGTGTGACTATAATTAGATGCTGTCCAATATCGATCTATTAACCTTGTGGTTGCTGTCGTTTTTAGGCCTACTTGGCTAATATTACAGGCTTGGCAAGCGACAATGCATAGGCCTATATATCGCTGTAAGAGAGAGGCTGTTTCCCTGCCACCAAGACAGTTTGACCAATAACATATAATAAAAGGCAGTCACTGTTTGAAAAACTTTTTTATTTGAGTGTCCGTTACACTCCCTCGTACACCCTCACACTAGTTCATATTATTTAAGTGGAATGTCCACCCCAGCAATTTTTTAATTTTAATACCCCTCCTCTATTTATAGATATTGGCGTGGAGCAGGTCTGTGCTTGCTGAAACTAGTTCTCATTTTCTTTTGCATTATTAAGTAGCTTAAAGTTGTTTCCAGGAAAATGTAAAATCAGTACGTATAGCCTCCCTCTCAGTGTATTTTTAGCCCCTCTCTCTTGTTAGCTCCGGTGCGCTCACCGTACCGGGTATTGGGCTGAAACCATTGTATAAAATGATAAAATGTTTGCCATATTTCTTTAAAGAATTGGTGCGAAGGCATAGGGACTGTTAACATTTGGATGATGATAACAAATGCATGTTTCTCAAAATAGAAAAATCATCTGAAACAGAGATGTCAAAGTGACCAGTCGCATTTCGATGTACTCCATGCTATGGTCTTTATTTGAAAATAGCACTTTTTACTAGATTACAAATTGCATCGTATTGTTTGGTTCTATTGCCTCGCTTTCAAAAATTAGAACAGGCGCTCCAAAACCGGGAGACGAAGTAAAAAATATATTGGCTAAGTTCGCCCTCGCGCAAGAATGTCCTCGCAGCATTATCTGCAGTTAACATTCCTATGATTTTGAATGTATTTTGCAATATCATTTTCAATCTGGCCCATGAAGAATTTTATTAATCAAGAGTGGGGGGAGGGGTGAAAAATCCCCACTGGGGCCACATGTTTATTTCGAACAGCGCACTTTTCGCGCATGCGCAGTTGCTTGAAGCCTGTGCTCCTTAACAGTATTTGACCTGTATTTAAAGGGCCATTGACTGTTTATGCCATCAACCTCGTCACTCAGCAGTTTGCCTCTTATCAGCTCGTACAGAGAACATATTAGCTATGCCACGACTACCAAGCGCTGGCCGGCTTCGCATTAAAGTTGGAGATGTCTGGCGCGCGCGATGGTTTGAACTTGAACCGCGTCAACTAAAATACTATAGGCGGCAGAGGCAAGTTGGGTCTCTCTCTCTCTCTCTCTCTCTCTCTCTCTCGCCGCAAGCCGAGAAAATGCTTGAGTTGGGGGGGGGGGGGGGG